ACGTCGGTCCTCTCAGTCTGGGGTCTGATCTAATACTCGTCTGTGAGGTTGATGACGGTAAGTCAAAACACTAGCATAAGTCTCTTGATATTACCAGACAATACATATGGTTGGGGCCGTCCCAAAAGGATCTATACCGTCCAGATTGATGAACTCAAGAAGGGCAGTATTAAGAGCCCCTGAAACCAACGTCACTGTATGAATACATTTATATATGTAGAAGGAGTAAAGCTTCTCTTAAATTCTGATAATAAAGTACAGATTATTGATGATGATAAAATTGCCAGAACAACCGGACACATTGGTATACTGGCGCCGTAATGGCGTGGTGATCGAGCGTGCACACGAGGCGCGGCCGGGAGTGCTGCGGGCGGAGGTGCTCGTGCGCAACGCGACACGCAGCGAGCTAGATGCGCATTACGAATGCCTTGCCCAGAACGCTGACGTCACCGAACCACTCACTGCCAGTGTTGTTATTAGGATGTACTGTAAGTTCTAGTGCTTCTTTAGCTGGCAGCTTCATTTTGCAAATGTGCGGAAAGATTATTAAATAAATCATTTACATAAGAGTGTTTTTTAGAAAAAAATTAAATTAAATTAAATTTTTATTAATATTTGTTACAGTGCCGCCCATAAGTGTGGAGATTCGTTTGAACCAAAACTTCAACTTCGAGGCAGGTCAACCCCGAGTGGTCGATTGCGTTGTGGTAGGTTGCGTGCCGCCCCCATCGGTAACTTGGCATCTAGGAGATAATCTGCTCCGACCCAGTGTACATAAGGTAAGCTTCGTCCTTAGCATTTCAATTTAAAAGAAGTAAACATTAAAAAAAACAATAGCTTACTGAACCAGGGATGAATTCGAATTGAATTACTTAGACTTTATTATATTTGCTGTTTACTATAATCCGTTAAGTTAGTTCAGAGAATGTTTCAATGGTGTTTAAGTAATTGATACATAAGCATAACATAAAAGCTTGACTGATAATTGGAATATAGCTTTGTTTGCTTAGTTTCAATTCTATACTCATTGCTGCAGGAATTACATGACGGCAACTACACCGTGTCCTCTCTGACTTTGGCGCCGTCGCTGAGAGACAACGAACACAAGCTTGTGTGCAGAGCTCACAATTCCCATTTGCCTGATGAAGTGTTCGAAGACGAAGTCACTCTGAATGTTGGATGTGGGTGAACAATATTATGCGAACATAACTTTACCATACCAGATTTTTTTTTGGGTTTGCGCGGATTATTTTCAGGCTACGTTTTTGACACCCACGTTCTTGTTTTTTTTGTATAACTATTAATTATTATTTACTGATCTACTTGTTTCTTAACAAAAAGATTATTGTATAGATCGGCCGTTGTGTTTAACATCTCGTGAAGAGACAGTGGGCGCTGTACAACGAGAGGCGGAGACTTTGACGTGCATCGTTGAAGCATCACCAGAACCTATTCAATTCAGCTGGACTTTCGCTGATTCAAAAACTTTATACACTAGCGTCAAAGTAAGCTATGCAAAAAAAATGTTACTATTATATAATTTGAAGTTAAATACAAAAGTACAGAAAGACAGTAATCAGATTCAGTATTTCTTTAGACGCCATCTTCCCATTGTTAACAGAAAGTACCAGGATACCATCATCGTTATTCTTCAACTCTAACATGGCTACCTCGAGAAGGCGACTTCGGACTGCTTTATTGTCGAGCTACGAACAGTTTTGGAGAACAAAAGAAACCGTGCACTTATTCGATAACATCTGGGGGACCACCTCAATCCCCGGACTGTGGTATACTACGCTCATATCCACACACTGTACGCGTGGAATGTCAAAAAAGTAAGTTCCTATATCTATTAAGAAGAAATTTTACAGAACATAGGGCATATTTTAACAATTTAATACATTAAAAGAATTTTTATTAAAACTACGTCTCGCGTCTAGAAAAATAGGATGATACGTCGAAAAAGAACTGTCTAAGAACTACACAGAAAGAAATCTTACTAGTCATGCTAATTTTATAAGTGGGAAAATTTATATGGATGGATGAATAACGTAGTCTGGAAGAACACATATGCTACTAATTAAGTTTTTTCAAATACCGCGCGGACGGAGTCGCGGGCGACAGCTTATATAGTCATCATTTCGAATTCGAATCGAATATGAATTAATTATACTACGATTGAATTTAGGATGGGATGGAGGTCGGCCTCAAATTATACATTTAGAACTCTTCGGAAGCGAAGGAGGGCTTTTACACAACGTCTCCAATTCGGCTGGTCATTTCCACTTGTCTGATGTGGATGAAGATAACAACTTGACTGCTATACTATACTCAAGCAACAATAGAGGAAGGAGTTCGTCTAAAACTATGTACCTTCAGACTGCCTCAACGTTAAATGCCTCAGGTACGAACTGATAATGGTACAAAATAAATAAGCATAAAATCATTTATTTTTAAGTAAATAATTTCTTTTAACCATTTTTTGTTTGCCATTATGTCGTTAAATTTCACTCTTATTTTAATACAAACTTATATTTTAAGCTATAACAGAACATCCTGCAGTTACACTGAAAGGACAATGGTTGCAAGCACTGGCGGGGTTGTTGACTATCATCGTAATTGTCGCCTTAGTTGGTGTCTGCTTAGGAATGAGATCTAAACATGAAGACTCGGACAGTCCCGATCTGGTTCTCCGTTCTGACGGTATGAAATAAACATATTCTTTAATCTTACAAATATTTATACGACATGAACAATTTTAGTAATCTTAACTAACAATAAGTTCTTAATGTTAGTGAATAATTGCTTTTGTTTTTTTCTCCATTTATTGTAACATGTCTGAGGATTTTTTTTCTTATAATTGTAGGTGTGTTCCACCGTGAACCTGATTTCGAACGTGAAGAACGACTACTCCGTACTACTAATATTACGGTCAACCAATTAGCCGCTTGTCAGAACGTAAGTACTCGCTACCGATAAAAGCTGCTGAAGCTTCACTACTCATTTTTATCAATATCATCGTCATCATTATTCATCACCCTATTGAAAATCACCGCTAAACGCCTGATAAAGTTAATGTTCAGATCCCATGCGCCCTTGATTACACTGACCAATATTTGTGGAATACAGCGAAAGAAAACCTATACTTGGTAGTCAATTCAAATGTTTTATACCACATTGGTATCATAGTGCAAGATAAAATAAGACTTTTAAATAGGAAATTCTTGGAGAAACCTTTTTTAAAACTTCGCCACATTTCGCCATTAATGATACTCGATCATTCATTTATCATATCGCTGTTCATGATTAAGCGAAAGTAGTATCATGATAGCCTTTTCAGGCCACCGATCTTAATGATAATGAATGTCCGTGGGATAATCTCATAAGAACAGCTTTCAATGACCTCCCGCAAGGTGTGTACACGGAAGAACAACTTTTTTCACACTTTACCAGAAAATGGGACGGCATTTTACAGGTGACAAAAAGTAACGTAGTTAGTAGAATGGCACGTAGATTTTGATTCTTCAAGGCGTAGTAGTTTACGACGATATGTGATGATTATATTTTTTATGACATATTCATTTTTGCTTATAATAAAGGGTATTAATTTTATTTGCAGCAATACGCATCATCGCCTGTCCCTTCATGTCGGGTGTTAGTTGGTTGTGGCTCACGATTACCACAACAAGATACGTGTCCCGCAAGTCAGCACTCTTACTTCGTTTAAATTGGAACACTACACTAAGTTTACATTGAAATTGAAAAATTAATATCAAAACTTGAACCACTTATATCGCTCGATCACAAGAAAAACGCTTCTTGCTAAATCTAGTGTAACTAGTGATGTCAGCAAATATTAGTAGCATGCACGGGGTTTCGTATAGGATGGTATAGGAGCAAAGTCAGAGATTGATTCCGATTAACCTTAAAATATCAGACATCTTCGGAACTAATTTCACTAAAATCGTTGGGTATATTAGTAGTAGGGCAAGCCAGGCTTTTTGGCTTTATGATAGTACTAACACTGATAAATTATTTTTAGACGCAATTAATTATATTTATACTAATTATAACTTATAATCAAATTATTGTTTAGTATGAATAAAATGCACGTTGTAGAAAGTTCTACAAGTTTTTAAGTAAAAATGTTTTTAATTCAATGCAAAGCATTTTATTTTGAAAGAACATATTATAAAATAAAGCAAGGTAAAATAATATAAATAAAATAACTTGTGTGACAGAAGATATATTTATTAAAAAAGCTTTACCGACAAATTCAAGAGATCTTTAAACTATTATTTCAATCCAAATTGTAAATTGTAACAAAGCGTATTAATAAATTTAATAAATTGTGATTTGTTTGATAATAAAACCTACTTATTTTGTTTTTGTTATCTGTAACTAAAAAAAACATCATATAAAATTAAAAACATGTATGTACTTTATATTAGAGTAAAAACTAAGTATTAAATGATTTGTTTTATTTTGTTTCCTAATCATATATTTACAACTCGTTTTTTTTGAATACATTAATTTCTTCTATAATTTATTTAACAAGTATTTACCTTAATTGGACATTAGTAGTTAAAAACAGTAGTACAACAACAGTCAAGTAAGTTCAAGTAAGCAGAAACTATGGATCTCCATTTGGTGAAGTTCTGGCACACTTCTCTCGCATCATCTCCACAAGATCCCGAAACCCAGTAGAGTGATTAGGTACAAGCTAGCCATCTTTCGACCGCATCATCATTTAACTGCTATAACCTGGGTGCTTTCAAGAGTAGGGTGAATAGTGCATACCATTCTTGATCACATAGTCACTTACTATCAAGTGAGTTTGTGATCAAGCACTGGTTTATTCAACATAAAAAAGGAACCATATTCCGCAAGTCTACTACCAAACGGAATCTCTACTATTATAGTTTGTTTCTGTTTCGAAATAACTTTTTTATTGCTTATATACATTTCGTAATTAATGATATATAAAATAAAACTGCATATACAATTGAAATAAATATTTAATTCTTAGTATATAAGTAATAAGTTATTTTTATTTATAAATGAGTTATATAAAACTACTTTTAGATAACAACACAATATTACGGTACACACTGCGGAAAAAACTTCAAAGACATTTAACATCTCTGAAATATTTCCCCAATGGAAATGCATGATTGTTCAATACTTTTGTCATAAAATTCATTGTAAAATCGTACATCAAATTATTGAATTAATTGCTATTAAACAAAACTCATGTCCTTTATGCTTTAATAAAGCTTTTTATTTTCTTTCATTAAAATGTCAATAGTCTATATTTTTATAATTTGCTATTAGAATAATTCTAAGATTTCCATTTAATGTACAATACTGTCTCTAAAAGTAAAATAATCTAATATTATGTTAGTCAGGTTTCTTTGGATCTGTCAATGTAGCTTGGTGTAGTTCATATAATTGTATAAGTTGATCTTCAGTCATAAAGTCAAGCATCTTTGGGTCAAGGTATTTGCCTACAGCTTTTTTTTTAGCTTGTTGCAATGGTTTCATTTGTTGAGCAAGGCTTATGGCATAATCCTAAAAAAAAATATGAATTTAATGTTACATTTCTAATTTATTTAAAATATAGGAAATTTTAATAGGTATAGAACACTATTTACTAAAGACGAGTAACTTATTTGATGAATTAGTTAGATTCATAGATCATTGGTCTTGGAACATCATTATGATTTAGCTACATTCTCATATAGTTAGTACCATGTCAGCATCAACTAGTATCAAATCCAAACCCAATTATTGGTCACCCTAAAAAAGGACCCTCAGTGGGTTTGACTCTGGTCAAAGTTATCTGTGTCAACACAGTATTAACTATACATAATAAGCCAATTTTAATTAGGATAAAAAGTAGTTTTATTTTCCATTTAAAGATACAATAAAATCCTATTGGGCACTAACAATAGCGTTTAACTCACTGTCCATTCATTGAGGAAAATTCTAGCTTCTGCAGGGTTGCAGTTTTTATGTCGTTTAAATTCATCCCGTGCATAATTGTCACCTAGAACCCGCAGCTCTGCTGGCATTCCGCGATGTACCCGGAGAATAAGTTTGTAAAGTCGACGTACTTTAAATACATGATCAGCAGGAAACATGGCTTGAAACTGATAATAAAAAGGACTTCGTTAAAACAATAAAACTTTGAAATAATTAGCAGTTAGGTAGGGGAACAGACTGCTCTATACATAAACTCATTTTAAAGAATCCCAAATAAAAGTGGAAAGTGCAAACAAATCATGGTAATAATTTTTAAGCAGGAAACGAACTCTACAGGCAATAGCCTAATTCGCTAACAGATCAGATGTTTCGATACCAGTAATAGAACTGTGACCAAGAATCCGATCTAGTAAACAACACCAAATAGCCCTTCTTGGCGCATTTAATTAGGTTTACCTAAAGACTGCAACGCAATTTGAGCAGTTAATATCACTATCCTTGTAAGTTTGGTCAAAATAAATACTTGATTATGTAAACATAAATAAATTAAAATCCATGGATATATAACCTAACCTGACATTATTTTGAAATTTGACATTTGTATGTGTCACTTTCTTTAGTCGGTTATTATGTGAACTAACAATGTCACAATGACAGCGTTGCATTTTGACCAAAAAGTCAAATGTTATCTTTGTATCATGATTCATCTCACAATCGTAGCATCTGAATTTCGATAATATTGCTATCCCTCTCATTCTCTTTGGACAAAAGAATAAACAGCAAAACAAAATTGTGTTAGGAAATTTTTGCTCCCTGATAACCCTTAAAACTGATTCTATTGACTTAATCGGTCCAACGAAAAAAAAAAATCACGTTATGCCGATCAATATGCTTGAAGGGAATCACCCAAATGATTGGAGAGTTACAACAGAAGATTTCATGTAATAGCTTTATGAAAAAGCATGAGGACAATGTTTATTACTATTTCAATCACACAAACTTTTGATTTTGGTATTGAAACATAAATCGGGATAGCAAGGATATGGGATAAACATGCACAAAGGTGTACGAGTGTATTTATTATTTATTTTTATTTATTAATGTTTACACATCGATTCATTACATCACATTCAGAAGATAATAATTAACAAAACACATAGGGCATACTAATCTTTTCACAAAATTTATATGATTTTTTTTATAACAACTGTTTGCTAGATTATCGAACTCTTTAAGTACTATGAACTATAAGTATCTTACGAAAAAAAAATTGCAATGAATAACCCGTTGACAATGTTAATGGTATTCAGCGTTTTTTTAATGGATCAATTTACGATGATTTTCATGGAATATAATACACATGTGGAAAAATGGAAATGCATAACATTTGTCAAAAGAAATGCATTCGCCCAAAACTTACAACATAAATTAATCATATTTTTTTTTATGATTTATTACATTGATGTTTTTAAAAGAGAAATATCTACTATAGACCGAGTAGATTAATATATATTAATTAAATATGTACTTGTCACAATACAATATGAAATTATTTAAAATTTCATTTGTCACATAGATATTAATGAATTATGTACTCGGCAAAATACAATACAATATTAAATTTATTCACTACTTCGTTTGACTCATTGTCAAACATTTTTAAGTAGATAAGCAGACATTTAAATTTTCTCTTGTATAAATGGATGGGTGAGGCAATGGTTGACAGATGCTCTCTTGGTAGGATCAAGCATAAGCATCCTTTCAAGAAGGTCCTTTAATTGAGCGATCTTTTTCGCCTCCTCTGGCGGTAGGCGGTGGTGCGGTGGAGCTAATTCTAACTGCAAGTCCCTGGTTGGCTTAATACTTGACATTATCACCACTTTTTCCTGTAATAAATTTTAAAATTATCTAAATATTCAATTTAATCTATATTTTACATATTTATTCAAAAATCATAAAATCTGCTTAACTTTTTACCGAATAAATAACCTTTAATAGAATTAATCTTTTAGAAAACTTACCCTTTCTGTAATTTTATCCAGTTCATGATATAAAAAGTTGCAATTGGCATCAAAATGTTGATCCTTAAATTGGCCCTTCTTTGCGATTTTGTTTGGAATCTTCCCTTTCAAATCCATGAAGTATTTCAGCATTTCATTATTTGATTTACCGCTGAACATTATTTTGCCTGTAGATAGCTCATATATGGTGCATGCAGTGGACCACATGTCTATGCCATAATCATAAGGTACTCCTAATATGATCTCCGGGGCTCTGTAGAATCTTGAGACTAGATACGGTGTTATTTCATTATCAGTGATATGTGATGCTGCGCCAAAGTCACATAGTTTTAAAACCAGTTTACTCTCATTTACTAAGATATTATCCGGCTTGATGTCTGGAATTAAAAAAAATATTATTGGTCATTTATCTATGTTTTGGTATTAAAACTTTGCTAAGATGTCATGAGGATGCTAGCTGAAATGTTTTTAATCATCATTAGGACTTTTGACATTATTTTGACTTTACATTTCATGCTGAGTTCACATAAAAGGACATAAAAAAAACCAAATGCAACCTTAATAGGTTAAAGCATCAATTTGCTTTAGCAACTAAGTTGTTCATTACCAGTAATGAATTAAGCTATTACTGAAATAAACCCACCGGCATGTAAAATTTTAGTTTTCTTCAACAATTTCAAAGCCAGTAGTATTTGTTGAGTATAACTTCTAACAGCTTTGATATGAATGCCGCTGTTTTTGCCATATTTCTTTAAAACTTCCCTCAGGTTCATAGCCAACGGCTCCAACACCATACATAAATGCCGTTTGTGGAAAAAGTGTCTGAACAATCTGAGACAATGATACTTGTCTTCGGGATCCGCATCATTTAATTTCTTTAACATTTCCAACTCTCTCAATCCAGTTTTATGCCTGTAAAATGCAAAACGAAATTTTAAACATACATCCACATTTAAGACATTACATCAGAAACAATCACATCTTTAAATTTTAGTCTAAATAATCAAATATTTATTAAATAAAACACAAGTTATTTTAATTAACTTACATTATATCATTATTTCTTATTATTTTGATGGCGACATCAGTGCCGCTTCGTATCAAATCTCTAGCGCGTATAACATTGGAGAAGACACCTTGACCAGTGTATCCATATACCGAGTATCTATTGTCTAGGGTCTCACCAATACGGACTCTGAAACATTACATAAATATGTACACAAATTTTATATGACATTTCATTGAAATTATATTTAAATATATGAAAGTACTCATTTATAAACCTAAAAATATTTGTTACATACCTGTAATAACCTTCTGCATCATCCCAATTGTCATTGAGAGATGGATTCTCTATAGTATTTTTATTCTTTGTTTCCCTTTTGGTGGGAGTCTGTGAAAACAATGTTATTACTAAGTAACTGATATTAAGTTTAAAATATAGTCAACTGTATGTCTTTTTTAACAAGCTCTGTGCCACTATCTCACACGAAAAGTAGTAGCAATGGAGATGTAAATACAGATTGTTTACTGAAAAACCACTTACGCCAATATTATGGAAGTTGTCTTGATCGGCAAACATATCCCAACCTTTATTTATCTTTTCCTCTGCTGAAGAATTTTCACCTTTATCATTATCTGAATTATTTGAGGCCTCATTCTCTTGTTCTTTAGTGTCCGTGTTTACATCAGTTTTCACTGGCTCTGGAGTTACCGTAATCTCACATTCTCTGGGAACACTAAAAACAACTATTTCATTTTCTCGTGGTGGTGTCTTTTGTTTAATTTCCGTTAGTGGTGGTGTAAGTTTGCCACTCAGACTATTATCTCTTCCACCCAATCGCTGTAATTAAAAATTAATATAATAATATGACATGCAAATAATTAAAGAATTACTTGGTTAATGATTGTTCCTATACCTTCATTAACTGTTCCCGTTGTTTTCTTCTACGCTCTATTATCTGTTCTTCATTTTCTTCCTCTTCATCAGTTTTAACAGATATATTTAGTTCTTCATCACTTGAACTTGCTATAGTTTGTGTAGCTTCATGTGAAGAACGCTAGAATTAAAAAAGTGCAAGTTTACCAAATTAAAATAAAACACACTTGTTTTAATGATTACTTATTTAGCTTAGAAATGAAATTATAGCAATTATATTGTGAATATTCCAAATAATTTTAATTTTGAGTTACCTTATAACCTACCCTATATCTATCTCTGTAATCTAATCTGGAATCTTTTGAACGCGCTCTGTTGTCCCGACTACGGGATCTACGATATTCTGATCGGCGATCCCGTCGACCAGCTGGTGAATATCTCTCTCTTGAACGACGGCTACTTCTATCTCTTTCCTTCTTTTTATGTGCCAATGAGCGTCGCATTCTTTCACGATCTCGTTCCCTTTCCCGTTCTCGTTCTCGATCGGTTTCTCTTTCTCTTTCACGTTTTCTTTCACGGTCTCGTTCCCTTTCTCTATGCGTGGGTGTATAACGTTCCATCTCTTTACGCAGCCGATGGTCTCTAGTCTCTTTCCATTCCTCAGTTCTTCTTTCACCTTTCTTTTCTCTTTTTATAACATCTCTTAGATCTTCCTTATGGTACTTGTATGAGTGTCTATCTGGTTTCCTTTCTGATGAATGATCTTTACTTGACTTGTGTCTAGTGGTCAGTTTGGAATCATGATCGCGCCGTTTTGGCATCTTTTCAAGTGTTGGTGTGCTGCCTTCTTCATTTACGCATGCACCTTTATTTTCTGCTGCTGCCAAATCAACTGTATCCTTGCATTCCCCATCTTCACTTTTATCTGAAAAGCATGCAACTAAACGAGCTTGCAAAAGTTCTTTTTGTTTCATTAATTCTTCAAGATTTAAGTCATCTTCAATTAATGCTAATTCAGGACTTGCGCAATCTTCTTGATAATTTTCAGTTCCAGAATTTGATGAAATTGTGTCCACTACTTCATATTTCGATTTTGAATTAGCTTTCTTTTTAGATTCTTTATGTGATCCTGCATCTCCATTCTTTGCCTTTGATGTTTTATCTTTTATTGTTTCTTTCTCTGCAGCAGGTGAGGAATGTGATGATTTTTTGTTAGATGACCGATGCTGGGATTTAGTTATTAATTCTTCAACATCGGACAGGGAAGTTTCACTTTCTGGCTTAGGACTTTTACGCTTTTCTTTCTTTGATTTCTTCCTTTTCTTGGCAGATACATCATCATTACCAGACGCCTTCTTTCTTTTCTTATGTTTCTTGCTCTTCTTTCTTTTTTTTGTTATATCTTCCTTTTCTTTTGCTTCAACATCATTACCTTCCCTAAAAGAAAATTCATCACTGTTAAGAATCTGTTAAGAAGAAACAATAAATTGCAAATAATCTTAAAATGATAATGAATATATGTATTAAGTTTTGTAAACTAAGCTGTACCCTGATATATTACAATTTTAACCTGATACAAACTGTAGCCTAGATTTTATTTAGCAGATAAACAATATGTTAGAATAAGAAAATAATCTTATTTATTGGTTCTAATCAAATTATGTAATACATACTCTTTATCCATTAATACGATTTAATGTCCAGCAAAGTAAGTTTCTTAACCTGCAACAAAAATGAGTTATGGATAAATAACATTAACATTAACTTAATTTTAACAAATGGCCTGTGTAATGTGCCTTGGTCTAAGTATTCAATGTTATAGTTGATTACAAATATCACTTGTAGAATTGTCGAAATGTACAAAAGTACATGATTCATCAATAGTTATTGCAACTGCTACCCATTTTTAACATTTCAATTGGTGATATTGCTAATCCAACATTACTTCATACATGAGACTAGAAATCATGGCAATGCCAAAACCTTTTGTCTTAATGCTACATTTGTAGTAAGACACACCTTAATAAGCCCATGAGACTGTATTACATTCAGTGGCAATGTATTTTTGTAATAATTTTAACAGTGAAGTAAAATTGTATAATATTGTTGCTAATAACATAGGCAACATGAGATAATTTGTTGCATCACATTAAAAACAATTTTAACAAACTGGTAATCTTAAGATAGGAAATGAAACAAAGGATCTTAATGTCAAATATAAGAAGACAACTTCACACTAATTGCTGATTACCATTTCTCTTAAGACCTTTTTGGACAAAGCTCATTGAAGAGATTGGAATAGCCCTGCCCTATAGAGAAATTACGCATTTTTCGTAACATATGTACCTACCCTTTTTCTATAATATTTAGATATTAAGAATATCATATACAATATTCTGTATACTATAGAAAATTCTAGTAAATATACTATGAAAATTTGGCTTAAACAAATAGTCATCTATGTCATTCATAATCACAGTTCATTATTAAAATTTTCGTTTGGCCCCCATTTTGCTTTTAGTTAAATCACTAAAATTTAGAGTTTTTATTTAATTAGGAACTATGAAATCACTTACTTTGACCACAGATCAGGGAAATTATAAATTAAATTCAATTATTTCAGATTATTTGACTAAAAATCAATATATGCGTACAACCAAAAGATGAAGACTAAAGCATGCTTGATTATTCTAAGTTGTTGGCGTAGAAATAAAAGAAACGTATTTCTGTATGTAATACACAATATGTAGTTGTGGTTCAGGGACAAAAATCAATAAATATGAAATTGTAGTCCAGAAATCAATCAAAAGAGCTATTGATTCTAAAAGAGAGAAGTATGAAGTAATTTTCAAGAGAGCGTGAGGTAAAAACTAACCGCAATGTAAACAAAACATAACTAAACAACTTACAGTCGATTTAACGATATGGGATAATTTATTGATCTTTCTTCAGTTACAATAAATACAAATGATACCAAGTTAGTTTACCACAAAAACAAATGTATAAAAGTAAATTACTTAACATGACACTACCTATTCCGAAGTTTAGAGATGTAGCTATTTAACGTAACCGTAATAATTAACAGTTAACAGGTTAGGTGAATATACCACGAATAACGAATAACCTTAAACGAGTAAAGGACTACACAAAATTTGTGATTGGCTTATTACTTGTCAACTTGCTATGGAAATTAATTTAACACAGATAAAAATTCCTTAATTTTGACAGCACTTTGGTTAATATTTTATATAAAACTGTAATGTCTGTATGTAAATAAAAAAAATATATTTACTTAACAAGATGTGTAACGAAAAAACAATTTTAAAAATTTTGATTGTCCGCAAGTTCGCATTTGTTCCAAGTAATTTTCGAAACAGCTGGGCTGATTTTGACGATACTTTGATGGGAAAGAAGCTGATGCATGCGGGACTATTATCGGTCACATTTCTTTTTAATTCTGCGCTGGCATAGTCACGGTTAAACTAAGCTCTAGAAATAACATCATGCAGCTATTAACTTGGAACCTGAAAGGTGTTTTAGTAACCATTCACGTTTAACGACATGTATAAATATAACGAACTATCGAAAATTGGTAACATCTATAAAAGTAATAATTATCTTATGAAGTTTATTATTTGTTAATGATTTATTGTCAACAAATTGACTATAGCCTACTGCTAGACATGTAAGTTTTAGCTAGTTAATATTGTCATTTCAGCTTCATCGTAAAACAATCGATTCAAGTTCTATGGGAATAATAATCGAAAATTTAACGATTACACATATAATCCATCGTTTGCTTTCTTTTTATAAATTGTCAGTATTATCAATCTGAATTGTATAAAGAATTAGAGATATACCATGGGATTTTAACACAAAAACATATAGGTATATCGTATGACGACGAATTTTATACAGGGATTTTAGTCCCTTAAACCAAGGGATAGTCAAATAAGGATATCCGGTTATGCCACAAGATGCTTGAACTGGGGCGCAAAAATCAATCAAGTTATGACAGCTCACTAGCGCCCCCTGTTAATGTCACAAAATTGGCTTGACTATAGCGTATGATAATGTTGTTTAGAAATTAAGATATGGCGATAAAACGGTAAATATTAAAACTGCCTACGATTAAAAAGCACACACTGTGCCAATTTAAAAACCTGATTTTTTTAATTTCTGCAGTTTAACCAACTGACAAAAGTTTTTACTTAGTTTTTATGAGTCTGCGTAGTCCACGCCTGTCAGGAAAATACTGAGAACTAGAAGAGGACAAAATAAAACAAGACCATGGGCATGCATAATGAAAATTGTTTATTTCATCTACTGACATTAAGTTGTATAATTTTAACACACAACAAATAACATTGATTTCTAATTATATCAATTTTTTTGTTAGTTTTATAATGAAATTTAAGACAGCATACTTTTTTGCAATTAATACATAAGGTAGCTTATATGGAAAGATAATTGTAGGAAACCAAACACATCATCGGTTTATGTATTATAATATTGACTTGTGTTTAGTTACTTCTAATATGCAACAATGTTTTTCTACAGTAAGTGGAGAGATGGAAAACACTTGATAATACACATATCCCCTAAAACAATTAATTTTATGCTACACATACGAACGTCACATTTTTTTTATTTTTATAATTTTAAATTCCAACACGAATTACGTTAATAGTATTCGGATTATATCCATTTTACACATACATTAAGATATAAAAATGTGATTTAATATACAGCAAAATACACATCATATAAAAGTGATATCGACATTGAATAAAAATGTTCTTTTAATTCTGTTACATTTATAACAAAAAAAGGTTTTATTTGCATTTTAATAACATTTATATCTCCTAAACGCTGTAAGTTCATTGTAAGCTGCAATGTAAATAGATTACATAAAATGGTTGAAACATATCAGATTTTTTAACTGATTTGGTGTAAAAATGTGTATCATCATGTAAATGGCTTGGAAGCGCTTGGACATAAGAGTTATTGAGATTAGGGATAGTATTTTTTAAGTGATTGACAAAAGCATGTACTCATATTATATACATATGGGCATACAAATAATGACTTACCGGGAACTACCATTAAGACTAACCATCATATGGTCAATTAATCCACGATTAAATATGTTTTAAGTGTGTCGAAAACGTATTGAATTTAAAATAATGAGACAAAACTGTTAAATAATTTTAAAGATTGGAATAAAGTTAATAAAATCAAACATGTTGATCATATGACATGTTAAATCTGTCTTAAAAAGTAATAAAACTTTAGAGTGTGTTTATTTAACAGTGATTAATTTGACAGCTCACTAGGAATGAGTAAAATCGAATTTGAATAATTTCGATGGTTGTTCTCATAGAATTTACAATCAATAATCTCGTATTTTTCTATTCCTACTTGATTCTTCAAAAATACATAAAACATTAAACCGAAATGCAGGTGTTGACATACAAAAAAAGTATTGTGTTTTTTTAGTTAGTGCGATACATAGCCAAATAAATGTAGTAAAACAAATACCTAAATTACAGTACTTATTTGTTCGATTAATTTTATTACAAGATCGATTCTCGATAGTTAATCCAATTCGTTATGCGCGTACGCACCGACACTGACATACTTTCATTAAGTACAACATTAATCTTTATACAAAATTAATTTGATACCTCATAAGCGTCAGTTGTCAAACTGATCATTCTTAAATAGTAATAATGTATTTTGCATTGAAATGAAATTAAATTATTAAGATGACAATATCAAATAAAAAAAATATGGTTAAATTTTTCTATTACATTAACTTTTTTATTCTGAAAATTATTATCAATTACAAATCTACTGTTCAAAATATGATAATTTTGAATAGATTTGAATCACGCATAAATTAATTTTTATATTGATGTTAAGGTAATTTCTTACATTTAAAATAAAATTATAATATAAATGTGAAGTAAAAATGCATCAACAATGTTACATTAAGAGTAAAAATAAACATAAGTATTTAAAATTTTGAAATTACTTATACTTATTAACATTACATTTATAGCCAAATTGTATGTTTGTTGTTTTCTATGTTCAAGTAACTGCATATCTTATTGTTCCAATTGATAATGTAGCATTGAAGAACCTATTTAGGATAGTAAAAACATTAATGACTCAAGCAAGCATACCACATCAAAGTACAAAAAGGAAATATACATCGAAATACATAAAATTTTAAATTGATAAAACATATAAAATTACGATAACAACACCAATATATGAATTGTGTTTAAAATGTGTGACGTGAAAAGTATTTTCCTTTAGTATCGATTTATGATAATGACTAACATTTTTTTTCAATAATCTAACCGCCAAATTTGAACGAGGTTGGAACTTGTGCAGGAACTGTGAAGGAATATCCTGAAAATAATAAAAAATTTAAAAATAGACATAATATAATATGGTCTTCACTTATGTCATCAGTTAGTCACTAGGTAGCTCATATAATATTATATTAAACATGGGACATTTATTTCGCTTGGCACAAGATCGGCTAAAGTTCAGTTCACCTAGAGAGAGAGAGAGAAACATGGGAAGAGAATTCTACCGATTTTCCAACAACACATTTCCAAGTTATCAATATTTTTATGAGCATCCTAATACATCAATCCTTTTGGTAACATGTCTTATGCTTTGCATTTCCCATGGAACCGGGAGCCCAAGACTTTTGAGGAGTATGGTGCCTGTCCCAGTACCCATTTATAAATTTTAGGTCCTACATATTGATCGAGATGATTGTTCTTTTTAGAACAGCCTATTTTTGATATTTTAATATTACACATACCTCCACTTTGTTCAATGCGTTTGCTATCTTGCTGTGCCTTGCGTTGGTCAGCAAGGACGAATACAGCATTCAACTCTTTTTGTTGCTCCTCAGTGAGAACGCTGGTCAAAGCATGATAAAGTACTGGCTCGCGAGCGGACAGACCTACAGAGAATTATTGAATAAATTAATTATATTTTAAAAACTTAGAGGTGCGAGAATCTCAACAGGTATCATCAGAGGCAGGCGCCATAAAAAATTAGTACATCACATGGACACTAATTCTCACAGCAATGTAAGACTCTAAAATTGAATGACAAATTATATAAAATAAAATACATTATGTTATTACCTATCAGTGTATTCTTGAAGTTAACGTATTCGTCAACGGGACAGTCTTTATCATCCAGAGGAGTTGTGTAGCACTCAATGGCAGACTCATCTTGCACATAATCATCATCATCCTGGTAACAAAGATTTGCTATTAATATATTTCTGGATTACATATAAAAAATATTTTATATACATTGGTACAAATATCCAAAGATCTCTCCTAATTCGTAAAGTTTTAGTCGCGTTAAAAATAATTACACAATTACATAGTACTACTAGCAATCAAAGGTGGTTCCAAAGGCAATTATTGCAGAAATTATCCAGACCCAATGTGTATGAACTAGAACTTTGAAATATGTTATCTCTGCCCACCACTCAGGATGTGGTTGCATGAAAACTTTAAAATTGATTGAACAAAAGTAAGTTTTTTCATTTCACTTGAAATTATCACATATTCAACATAACATAAATTACTTTGCTATCTATTATCAATTTATACTAATTGACACAAATTGACTTCCATATGCAGCAACAGACAGATAACCTTTAACCTGGTGAAGATATGCCTACACTGGAAAGTCAACAACTAACAAAATTGAAACAAATTGAAAGAGAATTTATTATTTTCATTCAATATTAACAATCTGAGATACTTTGTTTTCTTAATATTTGTACTTTCATCAATTTATTCTATAAATAATTATGTTTTTGAAGTCAACAATAGTCTCTATAGATAACATTGTGAACATACATTAATTAATCATTGACATATGAGTTTATCTCGCAGAAGTAATGAACTACATAGTTGCTTATTATAGTCCATATGTATATCAATGTATATACCATTTTTTTTACTTACGTCATCACTTTCAACTTCTTCTAATTTGGCCGTTATGTTGATATTATGCTCGGCGCTATTTTTAACTGCCATACGTGCGAGATTTTCTAAATACTCATTATTCATTTCTTCAATATCATCTTCATCACTGGAAAGTACTTC